TCAGCTGCGCTCTTCCGATCTCCTACACGTCAGCTTGCCCTCCGCCCGCCCGCCCGCCCGCGGGCGTCTGCGCGAGCCCGGCCGGCCGGCGGGGGAGATGTGCTCGGGCTCCGCCGGATCGGTTTCTCGGGGTTTGACCAGCTGTCCCGGGCTAACCCTGCTCCTCGCTGAAGATGGAGGAAGTAAAAACAGGATTACCCTTAGCTACAGATCCACTGCCTTAGTTTCCACCACCAACTGCAGTGCACAAACACACGTTAGGCACAGGAAGGGAAGAAAGAGAGAGAGGGAGAGGACACACTAACAGTAAACACAAACAAAAGGGTGATGGGATTATTTTACTGCATGCACTGCTGAGGTAAATCTCCGCTTGGCTTCTTTGCGTGGCGAAAGGACAGCTCTTGTTTTATTTGTCTTCTAGATTCATAGATTATGTTATCAACGTGTGTACGGTTTGCAAAGGGGTTGAGGGTTGTGTGTGTGGGGGGAGTGTTTTCAAAGTTGAGTGTAATTATGTGGGATCTCGTTTAGCGGTGTGCCGTGATCGAATGACTTGTTGCTGTTAACCAGTAATAATAATGATGTAGACGCTTTTCTCTGGGGAGGGATGGGTTGTGGCTCTGATTAGGGAAATGATTTCTGTAAAGGACGCTCAGGGAATCTGGTTGAAGATGATGTCCTCTGCCTTAAATGTATCGTCCCCTCCTTGTAATCTGCTTTCTGGGATGTTAATGGATTAATCAGTTCTCATTTCTATAGCTGTCATGGATTGGGACTTGTTCTTGCTTTGTTTTAACTTGAATTCCAAGAAGAAAGATTAGATAGCCTGGCATAAATTGTAGTTGTCTAGATAGAAGGTATTATACTGTTGAATTGAGAACAAAACAAAACAAAACAAAAATAATAATAATAAAAAAAATACCGGTGTGACACATGTAGAAAAGCAGCAGTTATATCGCTTTGACAGGTTCTGGTATGGGCGAAAGAGATGGAATAGAGATTTAATTTCTTCTTCTTTTTTTTCTATTTTGCCAGAGGCCACAAAACAGTTCTGTGAAGTTGGCCTAGGTTTCTTGCTGGGTTCTGCCTGACTGTCCCTCCCCTCGTACCCCCTCCCTCCCCTTTTTTTTCTTTCAGTTTTCTTGTCTTAGCTTTTGGTCGATTCTTAAGGAACCGGTGGATCAAGTTTTTTCTCTTCTTGTTAATCGCATTGCTGAAGCACTGACTGACCTCTCTCTCAGTCTCTCCCTCCCTCTCTCTCTCTCTCTTTTTTTTCCTCTTTCCTGAAAGTACGTGGTGCCATTCCTGAGTGACTTTTCCTACCAGACCATCCCAAAGGGACGAGGGGGCGGGGGCGGGGAAGGAGGAGGACGAGGAGGAGGAGGAGAAGGAGGAGGAGGTTGTTGGGGGGGGAGTGTTCCTTCTCTCTCATTTCTTGGTTTTGTTTATCAGCCGATCTGTTTGCTGGATTCGGGCTTGGAATGACCCACCTGTAAAGTGCTTTCCCCTCCTCCTCCTCGCCTTGAACTCTGCAGGGGGCTTGGCCTGGAGGGGGCCAGGGAGGGAAAGGGGGGGGGGACACAAAAAACTTCTTTCTTTCTTTCTCCGTTTCTCTTCAGCCCGACATTGTCACCTCCTCTTTGAGGGGTTAGAAGAAGCTGGGATCTCCCGACAGAGCTGGAAATGGTGATGAATGTTTTTTAATCAAAGGACAATTTCTTTTGTATGTACATTTCGTTTCTCTTTCTCCCTTTTCTTTTTCTTTCTTTTCCTTCTCTGAGGGTTTAATAACCATTTCACTGATGGGGCAGACTTCTTTTGCTTCTAACTGACGCTTCTTTTTCGTCTGTGTGTTAAATGTGTACATTTTTAAAGAGATAGACTCATTTGTAAGAGCTCCGTAGAAACTGCTCCCGTTTAAACTTTAGGGATCCCTTTCTTGAAAGCCTTATGTAATCATAATTGAAAGAATTTGATAAGAGTAGAGCAGGTCGGAATTTAGCTGCTATGTAGTTACTGAGAATTTGATCTGATTATTCCATAAAGAAAGAAAAGTTTTGGGGGGTGGGAGGTGTGGGAAGGCTGGTGGTGAAGGGGAGGGGAGGGGAGGGAGAAGGGAAGTGGTTTTGGAGACAAGAAGTGAAGCTGCCTGTTTTCCAGTAAGTAATGGAGAAATTCCAGGAGCCAGGGCTAAATATACTTGGCGATCAATACAGAAATGGCTCATTGTGAATAATTTAGCTGCTGGTGCTGTGAGAGTTTTGAAACTAAAGGCAAAAAGGACCAGGGCCAAAGGAAAAAAAAAATAAGTAAAAAATCTCTTCAGGACTTGTCAGTTCTTTAACTTTTCCCCTCAAAGAATACAGTTAGATTATCGATCTTTTCATTACGTGAATCAAAGCTAGGGGGTGTCGTCTCATACAATCTACTTTTGTTTCTGGGGATTAAGTTCTGTTTTGTGTTATTCGTGCATGAAAATCATTCCTCATACTTGGGAGGAAACGATCCCCTTGTGCACAGCCAGAAGTTTCTGAAATGTTGGAAATGAGAATGTCTTAAGTAAGCTTGGCATTGGTCCCCAGCCATAGCCAGTCAGGAAACTCAGGGTACACTGAACAGGTGCTTACACAGAATTTGGGGTAGGCTAAAACGTCACTGCAAGCCAGACAGTTGGCCAAGTGCTGCAAAAGTCTTCAGGATAAGGTCCAGCACTAAGTATTTTTATTTTGTTTTCTTCTGTTTTGTTTGTTCTCCCCCTCCCTATTAGAACATGATGAACCAACTTGCAACAATTGTGAATAGAGCTGTCTGTATACTAGGGAAGTACTCAAACTGCAGTGCGATCTTGAGAAGTAGTGAATGGTGAAAATACTCAGATAGCAGTTGAAGTTGGCAAATTTGAGCTATATCCCACTCTGTATTTCTCCCCCCACAAACACACACACACACACACACACACACACACACACACACACACACACACTCCCAGGTAAAACAGGTACATTTTGATTAAGAGAGTCATTCTTTCCTTACCACAGCCCATCTGACAGCACACTTATCTCCAGCGGGAATCAGATCATTTGCAGAGTTCAATGACTTGCAAATGAGCACACACAGTACACTGTAGTATGTTTCTTGGGCACAGGTTGCAGGAGCAACATGGACTAACTGCTTGGGGCTTCCAATACGTTAAGAGTTTAATGGCAGATACAGGGAGGAATCCTTGGGTTAAGGTCGTAATCTTTTGTTTTACAGCACTGCACGTTGACTATGGAAACAGACGCTATTGATGGCTACATAACATGTGAGTATTCATTTTCATTAATTTGCTGCTGGTACTAAAGTTAGCTTTGTGTTACCTGCGTGTAGATTCCCGAGCCACGAGTTTTTGTTACAACTTCTCTAGTTTTATTTGCTATTTATCATCCTACCTTTTAATGAGTATGAGGAAGGATTAACAGAAGCAAAATAAGGGGTTCTAGAAATATACTTATTACAGATCTTTAGTTTCCTGTTTTCTTGGTTTCCCTGTTTAAGTTAAGTTCAGGATACATCAGGCTACAGATATTTCTTCTAGTGTGGTGTGTACTAAAGATTTACTACTAGGTGACTTAATTTTTTTTTTCAAACACATAATATGAAAGAATTACTTTCTTAAGTTCACTTTTGGGAAAGCAAGCTGTCTTTTGAACCGCCCAGCTAACATTTAAAAAAATGTTCACTTTAAGTTGAACATTTAATGTTGATGTTGAAGAATTAAATTAGATTAATTTACAAACCTTACTGTTTCACAATTATTTTGGACCTCAGGTGCTCCCTATTCCCACTGACTTGTGAGTGTTGTGATAATAAAGTTTGTCCGTGTTTTTTTTTATTATGGGCTAGTTGTGGTTTGTTTTGTTTTCCCATTTCATTCATTTACTATGTGTTTTATTTCCTTGTAGTTTCTGTTAAAAGAAAAGCATGTTTCTTGAGCATTCAATTCTGCATGCCCTATGAATATAAGGCAGTTTGAATAATTAGATATTCTGTGACAATGAACAGAAACCAAAAGATCTTATTTTTTGAAAGCAGGTGACAATGAGCTTTCACCTGAAGGGGAGCATGCCAATATGGCCATTGACCTCACCTCAAGCACACCCAATGGACAGCACGCCTCACCAAGTCACATGACAAGCAGTAAGTCTTCATTTTATGTTTTTTTTTTTTTAATTCTCAAGCTAGAGATTTGGATTTCTCAGGTCTGTGGGGGTCTGCTCATTCTGTGGTGTAGCTACTGCTGTAGCTTTTGCTAAGAAAAGAACAACACAGATTTATTTCCGTTCATTCTAGTATCATAAAACATGAGCCTGCTTACTAGTCTGAACTGTCCCAAGGTGGTGTTTGCTAGCTGGTGCCTACCTGTACCGGGTAAGAGATATTAGGATTTGCTTATTGTTGTTTTGACTTTGAGCTTCACACCTAGATTTGTTGTTGTTTGATAAAAAAGAAAATTATGGAAATTTGTCATTTCTGAAGGACTCTTCAGGGTTATTTTTTCTTAAAAAAAAAGTAAACAATAAGTAGAAGAAATAATTTTTTTTGCTGCCTTGGTATGAAGCTAAAACATCAGTGACAGAATTGAAGGGTTACTTGCTTTCTCAGAAAAAAAGAAAAAGCAATGTAAAAGTTTCTCCTTCAGAGGATTTGCAGTGAAATGTCACTGAAGATTTGTGAAACTCATTTGCATCCATTTCCCTAAGAAAGTGGAAAGCAGTTTGTGTTAGATTGTCCAGGAAAAAAACAAACAAACAAACAAAAAAGATTTGGAAGGATGCTTTGGATTGCAGAAATGGCTGTTTGGGCGCTTCAGTGTTTCTGAGATGGAATGTCATCTACAATGTTGAGTGTAATAAAAAGGCAGTTGGCTGTCAGTGTGAGAGGACAAGATGCTTTCATTTGTTAAAACTGTAGTTTGTCTTTTAATTAAAATGTCTTATCAGATTAGTGAATTAAGTGCAAGTGGTCTGTTGCTGCTAATTCAAAACAATTTGTAGTGTTTCCTTTGCACTTTGGGTATATGTTAGAATATTAAATAGAAAGGATGTGTTTTATGTTATATTTAGTTTAACTTACTACTTTTCTATTTGGGTAATATATGAAGGAAACTTTTTTTATTTGAAGATTTAACAACTGAATAAAATCGAATAACCTGTTTAATTACCAGCATATTCTTAAGTCAGTTTTGCTTATCTGAGAGAACTTCTCTTTCACAGTCTCCTATCCTGACTTAAGTTGCTGTAAAGCTATAAACGTTAGAACCGAAAACTTCCGAATTCTAAGCAAAGTATATGAATTACTCTAGAATTCAGTTTGTAGACTTTAAATGATTATCTTAAAATGATTTTAGCTACTGTCTTGGAATCAGATTGAACTATTTGACTTTATTTCATTTAAAAGTTTTCTTTCTTTTTATGAATGAGGAAAACTTAGTCAGAAAATTTTATTCTTGAGGCAGGCATTAAAATTCCTCTATGGTGTAGAAAGGACAAATAATGATGATGTCAAGTGATTCATGCTGAATTTTATATTGTTAATCTCTTGTAATGGATCTTGTAGCACTCTTTTCTTTTGCTTATTGATTTGAGAAAAGTTATATTACTGTAATAGTATATAGATGTTTTGCATTTTAATATTTAATATTATTAGTACTTTGGTAGGCTGTCTTTATTTGTCAGAAACATTTTTTCATAAAAATGTCTAGTTAGGTAAGTTAGATTTATATAGAGGTTCTATTGTATCCTAGTTAATCTTTAGAGACTGTTAAAAACATTGAGTATGTACAATACAGAGTAACTGTTGACTGGACTAGCCTGCCATCTCTAGTCACCACCAGAAAATTAGGAAGAAAATGCTTGCTTGCTTAGTTGGCCCTTTGTGATCTGCTTTTCTGAGTGCTTCATTCAAAAAGGCATTTCCCTTCTCATTAAAGAAACATTGCAAAGTATAGAAATGGTTAATTTGAACAAATAAGAGTTGCCTGTCACCTCACCCCAGCTTTTCTCACCCAACAACTGTAAACTGGGTTTGGTAATTTTGTGTATGTGTGTGTGCTTAAATTTTCTGCCTGTGGCAATTCCATGTTAGTACAGTTTTTGGCTAAGTTTTACGTGTTTTTGGAGTTTCTGGTTAAATGTTTTGGCTCTCACTTCAGAGCTGTCTGTTGCATCCTCTATGTCGCCTCTATTTACAGCATCTAGGTTACCCACTTAGGTGTTAGATGGGGAAGATACCCCGTTTCCCTCTCTGTTAGATCTTGGAGAATCATAGCATTTTAGATGGCCAAAGCAAACACTGTCTGAGAAAGACTCTCGTCTGTTCATTAGAGCAGAGACCTAGAACTGGTCACTCAGATGTTTGAAACTTGGAATAAATTTTGTATGTGGGGGTCTGAAAATTCTCTCCTATGTGAGACCACTTGCCTCCATCTTCGTTTATATATGCCTTTGACTTTGATCAATGGAAATCACATGTCCTGTGCATTAAAAGAATATCTTCAGATTTATTTCTTTCGAGGCTGTTTCTTCCAAACGTGGAATTAAAGTTGGGATTAGAAGTCCTAATGCTAGAGGTCAATGTGAAGACTCTTCTGATAGGATAAGATAGTGTCTGATAACAGGATAGAAGCGTCTATGTGTGAGGGGGAAAGAATTCAATTTTAAAAGCTTAGAATAAAGTAAAAACCAACCAACCACAACAAAAACAAAAACAAGCCTTGGCCTTTCATAAACTAGCTTCCTGGCCATAGCAGCAGTAAACGCTGGAGATAAAGCACTGACTCTGCCTTCAGGAAAGGGGTCAGTATCACTATAAGGTACCAGTCTTCCGTTAAGCGGAGTCAGTGACTAGTCTAAGATGAAGGGCATCTATATTCCAGCTCCCTACTATGGCATAAAAATAATGACAGCAGCTATCATTACTTGACAGTATTAGAATAGAGTGGGGGTGAATTGTTAGAGAAGGAAGAATGTTATAATGCCTGGCAGTCTTGAGTTTTAAAACCACGAGTAAGATAACCTTCAAGGAAGTAACCGGAATTAGTGATCCTAACGTCTTATAGTGATTCTTCCCTGTGTTTTAGCGTGATTTTCATAGAACACTTTAGACTTATTCTTCTGGAATGCGGATCTCTTTGATAGGAGGATGGGCACTGTTGCCCCGAGATCATTAGTGTCCAAATTGAGTTTGCTGACAACTTTCAGTGTCAGGGATGACAGGATGTGCCTTGATGGCTACTGAAAACACACGGTGTTAAGTGATTTTAGAAACAGAGTCTGGAAGTTAAGAATCTGAGATAGACAACTCAGAACGATATAGAAATTGTGTTTTGCGTTTTGACCCGTGAGATGAAACTTATCTTGTGATTCAGTCTGTTTCTGGGCCAGCTCATTCCCAATTCTTGTGCCCTCGGTTCAGTATCACTTTCAAACTATTCAGTCCTTACAGCTGACTGTTTGTAACATTTAAATTTTTTTTTTTAAAGAAAATTACAATAACCAACTAATGAGTATTCATGTGTACAGGCCATGGTATGCATGGCAAGGCCATAGAAGAGTTTGCTGGCCTCAGCTACTGCCTTCTGCTCTGTGGATCGTGGGTATCGAACTCAGGCTTTCTGGGTTAGCAGCAAACCTTTTTGCCCCCTGAACCATCTTATCGGTCTTTGAACTTTTTTTTTTTTAAGGTTCTAAATTAATCTTTTTTTTTTCTTACATCTACTTTTAGGCCAAAAAATGAATTTTATTAGCAGTTATAACTTTAATGATATGCCAATACACCGTGACTTAAACATTGTTTCTATTGCTTTAAGGTTCTAGGAGGGGCAGCCATGCAGTCTCTACTGCTGATCAGTCAGCTTGATGGCCGGGTGGCATGCATCGAATCAGAAGAAGTAGTAATTCTAGTTTTACAAGGCTCTCACTAATAATCAGGTCAAGGAATCTAGTTTACTCTTTTCATAGCGTTTTACATTCCTTCTTTTCATAGCTAGTTTCCATTTTTAGAACACAGTGAAGCAGACGTGCACCATGAGTTCCATTTCTCACGTGTGAGAATGGAGGCTGGAAGAGATCAGTTGACCTCTTCCGTCACTTAAGAAAGACAAAATTCTCAGAGTTGGGTCATTATCTTGCGGGTTGATTAGCTAACTGTGGTCCCTGCAATGTCAGCCTGTGATGGTGCCTGCTGTGTCCGTTGTGGACCCGTATATTAGTGGCAAGAAGAAAACAAAAGAGAATTTCAGAAGTAGAGGAACGTTGGTATGTGGATGGTGCGATGTCAGTGCTCCTGTCACGCTGCCCTCCGACGGGGTTTGTGCGGAATAGCTCAGGATGGGGTTCCCTGGCTTTCGGAGCTGTCCTCTGCCGCTTAGTTTGGCAGTCATCCTCGGCTGCATTTCCATAGGACACACCCCAACGTAGCACCAGATGAGTCTGATGGAAAGCCTAAGTCTGTTTGGCTCATAGCGGTGATGTCTGCGTGTGTGCGCACGCACGCGCGCACGCGCACACATGTGTGCGGGTATCTACTGACATTTGGTTTTCTTTGGCTAGAAAATTGAGGACAACAACACAAAGCTTTGATTTAATGCCTTCAAGCTGTCAGGGTTGAGTGTCACGACTGTCTCCAAAGGAGACAGATGGGAAAAAGTTACAAAAGGAGCAAGTGTGAGCAAGACTTTGCAGGTCATGAACAGCAAAACCATTGCATTTCTTCCTGTGCCCCTCATCCAACCTCGCGACTCCATTTAGGTTGCTTAGAGGTGAGATTTAAGGTCTGTCTTTGAAAAACAAGATGACTTTTTGTAGAAAGGTTATGTATCTATGTCAAACTCTGTGTTTCCGCCTCTTTTTAAATGTTATATGATTGGTTCAGTTCACTGCCAATCGTCCCGAGAGCGGCTTTCCAGGGAGACCTCTGGGTCCAGTGCTCCTCTTTCCCTTCTGATACACTGATCAATTTTGATTATTCATGTATTCTGATCTTATGATAAAATGGGAAACAAATATCACAGTCCAAAAGTGAAGTAGTAGACGTTGCTGTTTTTTACTTTATATAAATAAATAAACAAATAAATAAATAAATACAGTAATCTGATGATACTTCCCCTTTGTGAAGAGAGATCCCGAAGCTCTCCACTT